CCTGGGACCCACAGACCTACTTTCTCTTCCTGTTTATTCCAAGACTCTCTGCTTCTCCCCACCAATCCCCCTCTTTTCTGTACCTCCTGGAAAAGCCTCTGTGTCCTCAACCTAAGGCCCTGCTTGGGAAATCAAAGCCAGAAGAACCTGCAAGCTACTTCTGGGTACAGTTCTGCCACATACCTGGCCTGGGGCAGTGACATGGGGAGACTGCCAGAGGTCTGGAGGTGGGAAGGGACAAGGTGGAAATATGAAGGGGAGAAAGTTTTCTAATTTCAAAATATTATCCAGCCACAGAAGCAATCCCTTCTGAGAGTAAATTCTTAGTGGGGAAAAAAAGTGGCTATTTAAGGCCAGGATATATGTGGGTCCATTTTACTTATTCGTTTTATTGGTACATTCATAACATTATTTTCCACCAAGACTCGTTAATTTGCCAAAAGGGAGGGTGAGTGTACCATTCCAAAGAAGATGGTGCCCTGGTCTGTAATTGCTGTCACGATACTCTACAAGTTTCAGTAGATGATTTTAGAGTTTACAGGGATATGAAAATGTTTCCCATTCACACTCGCCATGATACACATGCAGACACAGCACAAGGGAAGTTAAACTCATCAAGGATGCCCAGATAGTGGCTGATGGAGGACTAGAACTCAGGTTTCCCCTCTCCCAGCCCAGGGTCTTTGCCATGATCTCACACATCTTGGAAGTTACCAGCAACAGCAAGTTGGAGCCAAATCTCTTGATGACTCTACCGCCAGTCAGAATGGAGCACAGTCACCCTAGGCAGCGTGCCCAGGGCATATGCCACATTCGATGAAACTCTCTGGAGGCCCAGGACACTAGGCACATGACAGGAACATGTGCTTCCAGCAGAGGCTTGGTTCCCAGCTCTGCCTTCCCCGGGCTCACAGTCTCTGGGGCGCCGCCAATGAAATATCTTTCCTCCTCTGCGCCTGGCAGGCCTGAAGACCAGGTCCCCCTCCTTCTGGCCTGACTCACTCCCTCTCCCTTCCCTCAGCTCCCACCAGGGAGTGTCTCCATCAGCCACAGAGCGGACTGGATTTTGTCGGCCCGGTGAGGTTTCTCTTGATGCGTTTGCTAGCTCAGCACAGACTCCAGATCTTCCCAGGACAGTTCTCAAGTGTTTTATAATCTCTCTTCACATTTGCATTCTCTGTGTCTAACGGATCATGGTTTAATAAGATTTCTCTTCACCGTGCCTCCTTGCAACTGCTTCCAATTTATATCACAATCCAAATGATTTTCACTGCTCTTACCAGATTGTCTGTGTCGTGACTTTCCGGGGATGCAATATCAGACTTGCCAGCTCTCTCGTGCTCTGGCTCCTGGCCTTGGAGTCGCCCGTCAACACACCAGGTTTCGCTGAGTTGTATTCAGGGACACCGTCAGAACCTCTGACGTTAATTTTCTAATTGAGAATATTGGTGCTGCCTGAACTCGAAGACAGGTAGAGATGTTCAATTCCTCTGTGCGCTATCTTTTCACAAAGATTTTAAATGTGTCATACTACTTGTTAGTTTTTAATAATTGCTCGGATGGAATGATTTCTTTCAATCAAATGCTTTAAAGCTGCGTGCTCAATAGTTTATAATGCGCAGACGCAAGAGAAGCCATTCTGTGCCTAAAGCATCTGGGTTTTCAACATACAGTCTTTAGAGTATCATTGCCTCTGGATGCTGCTGTTTTTGTTGGTTCGTGGTCTGGGGGACCACTCCCTGAAGATGTTAAAGAAAATAGGGCAAGCTTTTACATAATTTCTCATAAGTGCAGAAAAGAGAAACACCAAACCACCCCAGTGTTTTGAGAAATTCCGTTTCCTCTGTTCCCCTTCAGTGGTTTCTAAAAGGAATACATTTCCAGCGAGGTGGAGTTGTCTGTCTACTTAAGCGAGCAAGAAATAGGAGAAGATTACGCATTAATAACTGGACTCTCTGGTTCAGCCACTGGAGTGTCCTCAGAAGCTACCGGTGATGCTTCCTGGGGAGGAAGTAAAAACTATTCTTGTTGCTCGTGTATAGATGCTTAAACTGGTGCTCAGAGGGGCCAAGCACTTACTCAAGGCCACACGTCTATTAAATTGTGGAGCTAAGATTTGAATTCAGCGACAAACTTAGTTGCCATTTTGATCTTTCCAAAAAAAAAAAGTCAAAATTGTGTACACTGCAAAACGGATACAGAGCCTCAAAGGGCGCTTGAGGATGGGAGGTGGATAATTCCTTCTAAGGTGCATGCCCAGGAAGAAAAGACAGCACGGTCCTGCTTTGAAATTCAGTCGTGACCTCCTCTTCCTCTGCTTTAGGAATGGCCGGCCTGCCAGGAGCGCCTGTGTGCACTCTAACGTAAACAAGCAATAGCAACTTCTCAGCGAGCTCAGTTCAGAGCAGCTCTGGCCTCCACACCCCCAGCTTAGCCTCTCCCTGTGGGGGGCAGTTCCGTGGGCTCCTCCCCTCGGTCTACGCCCTTTGGCGCCCCCCTGCTGGTCTCCAGGAGAAGCACCTGTCCTGGAACCAGAGAAATTGCACCCAAGCCCTCTGTTGCCTTAGCTCCAAGTAAAACGATGTGCTCTGTCCAGCTCCCCGGCCTCAGAAGCCTCAACTGATCCTCTTTGAGAAACCATCTGATGCTTCCTCCTTCAGGGCTGGAAAGAATTAACAGTGAATGTATGTTAATAGCCCCCTTTTCCAAAGTGATCATGCAGCATCTTGGTCATACTTTATTCCCAGGAGAACCAGGCAGTCTGAGTAGTGAGCAATGAGGCAAATAACAGGTCCCTTAAGTCCTTACCGCTCAAATTGTGGTCAGTGAACCAGCAGCATCAGTATCACCTAGATGCTTATTAGAAATGCAGCATCTTGGGCAGCCCTGTGGCATAGTGGTTAAGTCCGGCACGCTCTGCTTCGGCCGCCTGGGTTCATGGGTTCAGATCCTGGGCACGGACCTACACCACTTGTCAAGCCATGCTGTGGCAGCAACCCACATCCAAAATAGAGGAAGATTGGCACAAATGTTAGCTCAGGGCTAATCTTCCTCAAGCAAAAAAAAAAAAAAGGAAGATTGGCAACAGATATTAGCTCAGAGTGAATCTTCCTCACCAAAAACAAAGAAGAAATACAGAATCTCAGGTTCTACCCCAGACCTGCTAAATCAAAATCTGCATTTCAGCAAGATCTCCAGGTAATTCATACGCAGTCACCCTTTGAGGTCTGTATCTGTTTTGCAGTGTACGCAAATTTGATTTTTTTGAAAGATCTGAATGACAACTAACTTTGCAGTTGGATTCAAATCCTAGCTCCACAATTTAATGGCTGTGTGACCTTAGGCAAGAGCTTAACCACTCTGAGCATCAGTTTAATTGTCTGTAAAATGATGAGAAGCACTATACGTCAATTTTTCAACTTTCAGGACCCTTCTCATCCTAAATCTGAGACTCAATAATTACCCAGTCTCCTAACTCTGCCATAATTTACCTAGCTGTGCTGCTTAGAAGTGTCAAACTCTGATGGCAAACCTAGCTGTTTTTCTCTAGAAACCTGCAGGTTCGGGGCCAGCCCCGTGGCTTAGCAGTTAAGTGCGCGCGCTCCGCTACTGGCAGCCCAGGTTCGGATCCGAGCGCACAACAACGCACCACTTGTCCAGCCATCCCGAGGCGGCGTCCCACATACAGCAACTAGAAGGATGTGCAACTATGACACACAACTATCTACTGGGGCTTTGGGGAGAAAAAGGGGGGAAAATAGGAGGAGGATTGCTGATAGACGTTAGCTCAGGGCCGGTCTTCCTCAGCAAAAAGGGGAGGATTGGCATGGATGTTAGCTCAGGGCTGATCTTCCTCACAAAAAAAGAAAGAAACCCACAAGTTCTCTGCTCACCATGGAGTAGACAGTGGATTGCCCTCATCCTTGTATGTGAGTCCTTGGTAACCAAATGACCACAGAAATGTCGTGGAAGGGACTTCTAGGTCCAAGGGAGACATTCCTCACCACTGTAGTGATTTAATAAAAATGGATTGGATTATGAAAGTGTAGAGTTTCCCTCCCTGGAGTTACAAGGAAGAAAGTTGCCCATCCAACTGGCTGACTTAGACACCCACCTTCTGAGCCAGAGGCTGGGCCTGAGATTTCTCAAGATCCCTTCAGCTCTGATGTGCTGTCTGCCTTGACTTACAAGATGGTCTTGATCTTTTCCAATTAACATGCCGTTTAATCATGAGCCAGCCCTGATGGCCTAGTGGTTAAGTTCAGCGTGCTCAGCTTTGGCGTCCTGGGTTTGGTTCCCTGTCGCGGACCTACACCACTTGTCTGTCAGTAGCCATGGCAGTGGCTCACATAGAAGAACTAGAAGGACCTACAGCTAGAGTATACAACTGTGTACTGGGGCTTTGGGGAGGGGGGAAAAAAAAATAGAGGAAGATTGGCAACAGATGTTAGCTCAGGGAAAGTCTTTCCCAGCAAAAAAAAAAGAGAAAAAGTTAAAAAAAAAAATTCCACTTAATCAGAGACACATCTAAAGTTTTAAATTCTTCTACAAAGAAAATTTCTGTATGGCGTAGAAAAACACCTATAATGTCTTCTATTTCTCCCTCTTTTTTTTTTTTTTTACAGTTTTATTTATTTTATTTTTTTTGCGAGGAAGATCAGCCCTGAGCTAGCATCCATGCTAATCCTCCTCTTTTTGCTGAGGAAGACTGGCTCTGAGCTAACATCTATTGCCAATCCTCCTTTTTTTTGTTTTTCCCCCAAAGCCCCAGTAGACAGTTGTATGTCATAGTTGCACATCCTTCTAGTTGCTGTATGTGGGACGCGGCCTCAGCATGGCCAGAGAAGCGGTGCATCAGTGCGCGCCCGGGATCCGAACCCGGGCCTCCAGTAGCAGAGCGCGCACACTTAACCGCTAAGCCACGGGGCTGGCCCTATTTCTCCCTCTTAACTAGCTTTCCTGTTCTCCCTTAGGAAAACAAGGGCCCTTTCTTCTGATTCACCAAAAAAATACTGACCACCATCCTCACTGTGATGAGTGTCCTATAGTCTCAGGAACTGAAGACTTTAAACAACCAGAGGACCCCGAGCTCCTAGATAAGAACAGATTAGAAGCCCCTTGTGGTAGGCCTGGGAGGTAGGTACTCCTGACAAAAATAAGTCTTCTTCAGAATATTCATGGGGAAAAAATATTACTGGGGTGCTTAAGTTGTGCAGGGGATACCACGTGAGTAGAACTGGGTCTCTGCCCTCAAGAGGTTGACAATCCAGAGGGAAGGCGTAATGTAATAAAAATGCTATCATGGAGATGCCAACAGAATATCAAGGGAGATAAAGTGCCTATAGGAACATGAGGACTGTTTCATGGGAGAGCTGGCCTCTGAGGTGGCCTTTGAAGGAAGTTTCAGTTGGACAAGCAGATGAGAAGCATTTGAATCCCAGGGACCAGCCTAAGCAGAGAAATCAGATAGAGGCCAACCTCTGAGAAGGCAAGTTATCCCTGGAGCACAGGGCAAGACTGTTGATACAGCCGGGAAGGTAGGTTGGCTTGAGTTCCCCCCTCTGTCACGTGAGAGGGTTCAAGCAGTAAGGGCCCTCTCCAATCAACCATTCCGGGATTAGAGTATAGTCCACGGTGGAGGACCCTGGAGTCTTCTGCCCCAAAGAGTTTGACCTTCGTGGGCATAAGGAGCCAGCAAAGACTTCTGATCAGAGCTGTGCTCCACAGGCTCCCTCAAGTAGCTAAGTGAGAGATGCATGTGTCAGGGTAGGACTTAGCATGGGGGATCAGCCAGGAGGCAGCAGGGCCGTGAAGCTGAGCAGAGACAGCACAATTGGAAGGGAGGGGAATCGATGTTGGCGGTGTCCTAAGGGGAACTTCACAGACTTCCCACTAGCTGCATTGATGTGGTACTGGAAGCTTCTTCCAGGGGGGGATTCGGAAGCCAGGATGACCTCATTCACCTAGTTAGATTTGAAGAATACACACACCAAAGACGGAAATAAGAGTCCATAACAAAAGATGAATATGAGGCAGTGTTGGATCAGTTAGAAGGGGTGCTGAAAGGCTATAGCCTCAAATGCTCTGAATTTGGGGGAAGTGCTACAGATGCCCAAAAGGATATTTCAAGGTATGTCCAGATGAGGAAGAAGAAAGAAGAGACAAGCTCACTCTCAGAAGCTGATGGTATAATACTAACAGATAACTGGTCCCTGGTAGGAGGGAAGAGAGCAAGTGAGATGGGGCTGCTCTGAAACGTCCTAGCCTCCCGCCCGGACCAGTCCATCCAAGGGACTCGGCGCAGATTAGCCCTCGACACCCCAGCAGCCATCCTGCAGGCCAGGAAGAGGGAGGGAGGACCTGGAGGCAGGATGTGGCAAGTTCATTTGTTCAGTGGATATTTGCCGACATATTCCACCCCAGGTGCCGGTGATGTAGCAGTGAACCAAAAAGAACAAAGCAATACCCACCCTCAGGAATGGAATTCTGATTTACACAAAGCGATGCAGGTGGGCTTTTAAGCCACAAACCATGAACTTGACAGCGATTATGGACAAATTATTAGAAGAGATTTAGGGACGGTCTGCAGCTCTGAGGAAAGGCAGTGGGAACCCCTGCATGTCAGCGTAGGTTCAGGAGCAGCAAGTCATATCGGACTCAGCTCATTTCCAGCCTGACGGGGTAACCAGTTTCTGGCAGCTCTGGGAACTCGGCGAGGCATTTGACAGAGTTCCTCGTGCTATCCCTGCCACCCCCGCTACAATGGTAATGGATCAAAGACGACACCTAGAAGGGGAATTTCTCACTAGGCTGGACTCAGTAGACATGCCTTGTCTTATGGAATCACCTGCACTTAGAGATGCAAACAGACCCTAATGAGCCCACCGAGCATCTAAGTAAGTACACTGTTCACCTGAGGGCGCAGCAGTGCGCAGGAACCTAATGTGCAGATTTTCTGATTCGTCTTTGGAGAACAGTCGTCGATTGTCAGGCTCTCACCTCGCTGTGTTAATCCGTGATGCTCGGGAAGATGCTGACTGTCCGCGCTCAGGCGTGTGATGGGTCTGAGGAGAAGTGAGGGTGGGGAGCACGCTTTGCTTTTGTTCGCATGAACAGACCGTCTGTTCCTGGCCATGGAGCACCTTTTGCACTCGGTTTGCACAAGTGAGCCGCCCTCTCTGACCGCATTGGTCTGAGTGTGACCTGCCCTCAGCCTGGCCACACCCTCTTGACCCAAGAGCCCACCTCACAGTGGCACTGCAGGGCACTGCCCCCAGGATACTGGGGAGCCCTCCTGGTGGGCATTGCTTTCCGAACATGGTGAGTTACCCAGATGGCTTCTCAGAGGGCTGAGGCAAGGCAGGATGGGTGAGGGAAACCAGTGAAGGTTGGAATCACTCCTGAGGGGCTAGGAGAGAGGGGGGCATGTGGAAGTTGTATTGAGGGCACAGCAGGATTGCATACGGCACCTTTGTCTGGGCGCCAATGCACACCATTGTGTGGTTTTTTCTGACAGAGCTCAGCCACCGAGTGTAGACACGGAAGGCAGGCAGCTGATGTAGACAAATGGGATAGAAGAGCAACGAGGCATGAGAGTTGAAGGTGTTGAAAGAGGGTTTGAAGAGAAGGTCCGTGGGGTCTAGAATGATGGATGGTGTAAGGAAGCAGATACATTTAACAGCGAAGGTTCAGGGGTATTATGAGGCTGTCAGACAGTCAGGTAGGGGAAGGAAGGGTGTGAGACACCTGCCAGGGGGAGGCTGTGATGAGAGAGGAGGAGAGAACTCAGCATTTCAGAGGGGACCATCTCGGAAATGAGTGACCATGGGGGTAAGGTGGACCTTCCTGTGGAAGTTGAAGAGGGTGAGGGGCTGAGAGGGTAACCTTCCACTGCGAGCCAGGCCAACGCCTTTTGTGACTGTGGGGAAGTGGCCACAAGATCAGCAGATGATGACCGAGAGGTGGGCTACAGCAGCACCCCTGTACTGAACCATTTGTGCAGCCACACCAGAGGGCAGCAGACAGAGATGTGTGGGTGGTCTTAAGAAAGTTACTTAATTTCTCTGGGCCTTAGTTTCCTCTTCTGTATAAGGAGATAACAATAGTCCCTACAAAAGCCTGGGAGGACGAGGGAAGGGAGGAAGCTCAGAGCTGTGTGTTGATGCGTATACAGGTGAAGATAGCCCGCTGTATGGTTTTGTTTTTGTTGTTAGTGCCATAGAGTGGGTTCTGACTGCTGGTGACCCTGGGTAGAGTAGAGCAGAACCCTGCCCGTCCTTTTGCGCCATCTTCTACCCTTCCAGCACTCTATCAAACAATGCTCTGCAGCTATTCATAGGGTCTTCATGGCCAATTTTTTCCGAAGTGGGTGGCGAGGTCCTTCTTCCTAGTCTGTCTAGTCTGGAAGCCCCACTGAAACCTGTCCACCATGGGTGACCCTGCTGGTATTTGAAATACCAGTGGTGGCACAACTTTCAACATCACAGCAACATGCAGCCACCACAGTGTGACAACCGACAGACGGGTGGTGTGGTTTCCTGACCGGGAAACAGACCTGGACCGCAGTGGTGAGAGGGCCAGATCTTAACCACTGACCCACCAGGGCTGGCACATGGTGGTGTAGTTAGTAGAATATATTTCTTTCCTCCCTCCAGACTCGAGCCCAGTGGTTCTCAGACATGAGTGTGCATCAGACTCACCCAGAGGGCTTGATAAAATGGCCTGCCAGGCCCCAGCCCAGGAGCTTCTGGTTCAGTAGGGCTGGGATGGGGCCCGAGAATTGGCAGTGCTCACTGGCCCCAAGTGGTGCTCTCTAGAGACCGTGAGCCCCTTGCGAGCAGGGACTCCTCAGCATCCAGCACAGCGATCGGCACACGGTGGGACCTCAGCCCAGGAAGTTTCTCTAGGACAAGCACAAGTTCTAACGACAGCAGCTGGTCACTGTGAGTAGAGGTGGTGTGAATGAAAAAGAGGTCACTCCAGAAGAGCCTCCGAGTCATGGTGGTTTAGGAAGGAAGCTAGATCTGTGTTTGGGGAGCATATTCTGAGGTTCATGGCAGGACAGTCACCCACATGTCTTATTGGAACCATCGTCAGAGGCGGAATGCTGGGCTGGAAGCAACCTTTTGGATTTCATGTGCTCATTTGCTGGCTTGCTCCAACGGGATGCTGGATTCTGCATCTAGAGAGTGCACTTGCCTCGTGGTGATTCACCTTGTCTACTAGCCTTGAGCCTTTATCCGAGGCTGAACTTGCATTCCATACTCATATTTGGACTCAGTCCAGGATTTTTATTGCTATGTGAACTTTGGAGAAACTCTCCCAAGCACCCATTTGGAAATGAATGAACTGTTTTACTCAAACAGCGAGTCCTCCATGCTCAGTGCTCCGGCCACCTGCCAGGTGTGGGCCATCATCTGCCAGTTGAAGCATTCTCTCATAGCCTTGCAGCCCAGCTCGGAATCCTGGGTCCTGCCAAGGAGCCCATTACTAGTATTATTTGTTACCGATCAAGCATTAAATGAACACAGCAGCCGCCCTGGCCCCAGCAGATGCATTTGCAGGCTAACTGTGGTGCCCGGGGAGCAGAGGTGCCCCCGAAGCACAGGCTGCCTGTTTCCGGTGGAGACACCATGGCCCATAATTCACCCAAGCTCTGCTGTCCAGACAATTAAGTCAAGAAAGGGAACCTGCTCTGCTAATGGCTGGGATTCAAGCTAAATGAATTCAACTCAGATGAAAGGGATACTGACCCATCTCCCTCTGGTCTCATTGTCTTAATTAACAGCCCTTGACAGGAGCATGGAGGCCCACATTGATTGTTCTGTTGCTGTTACCCCCTCAGAGCCCTGGATGCCAGTTAGCCCAGACTTAATAATCAAAACTCCACACTCAACAGCCTCGGAATTTTCTTACCCGCCCTTCTTCCTCCAAGAGATTCAGAGGGGTTCTGAGTTGGAGGGCATCCTTCAGACCAGTGTTTCTCAAAGCATGGCCTGAGAAGCGTGTGGCTCTAAGTACCCAGGATACGGCTATAAAATACGGCCTGTGGAACCTGAATTCCTAGGAGTCGGGCTCAGGTATTAGTAGTAGCGTATTTTTCTCTTTAATTTTGTCTTTTTAATTGTGCTAAAATA